GTGAAAATCATCACTCATTTTACTTGTTCTTTTGTTGTGATTTTTTAAATATCCTTTACCCTTCAGTATCGGTTCCTGTCCTTCCTTCTCATTCTCAAGCAGTCTCTTTTCAGAAGAGTGGAAAATTCAATGGTTTTGCTAAGGACGCAGTGAAAGAATTAACTGAATATCAAAGACATATTTAGTTCTGAAATAAGACATGCTTCTACAGTCTCTGTGCCTCCCAGTTCACTGCACTCTGTTTCATTGCTGGACAAGACCCATGGGCCCATCAAATATAGATCATAGAATAGCTGGGGTTGGAAAGGACCTTAAAATCATCTAGTTTCAAACCCCCTGCCATGGGCAGAGAAACCACACACTAAACCATGTCACCCAAGACTCTGTCCATGACAATAATAAGGAGTTTCTGCTTGATGGTGGGGAGAGTTCCCTTTTATAAGTGTTAACCATTACCAAGTCACTGATAATGGAAGTTGTGATAAAAGCATCTGATATTTTCTATGAGTGTAATGGTTTGCACAAATAGTGACTGTTACCCTGCTATGAGGAACTGGGAAGGAGAGAGAGATGTGCCCTATTTTTCTAAGGAAAAAAAAAAAAGAGGGAAAATGAAGGGCTTTAGTATCTTCAAATATTTCTAGTGACCACTAATCACATTCTGCATAAATCTTTTTTAAATACATGTGAGTAGCTGTGACAGGATATAATGTTTGTCCCAAGCACAACGGTGTGAGTTCCGCTACAAGCAGCAGAAGCTTATTTTTATCTGTTACAAAATCAGAATCACAAGAAAAGCTCCGATATAGCCAGATCTGGAGAACAGAGCTTAGCCCACCTCTAACCAGAAAAAAAAAGTTTATTAATTGCTTAAAGAGAGAGCAACATTTCTAAAATATCTGAAGTCAAAACAGGCACTTTCCCCTCACACCCCTCCCAAAGAAAAGCTCCCTGTTTTATATAAATATCTCTGTCAAGATACTTCCTTTCTGGGAACATGAACTGTAACACACAGTAGCCCAGCTAAGCCCAGAGGAAGTTTGGTTGGTTCTGGCCTAACATGATAAGAAACTTGAAGAATACAGTCAGCAGTCAAGAGTTACAGTGAGTAGACATGGTGGTTAACTGGTGTGCAGGGGGGGGAGATGCACTATTTGAAATCTCAGTATTTAATCTCCTTAATGTGGATTTTGAATTTCCAAATGCATTCACAGTATCACAGTATGTTAGAGATTGGAAGGGACCTCAGAAGATCATCTAGTCCAATCCCCCTGCCAGAGCAGGAACACCTAGATAAGGTTACACAGGAACGTGTCCAGGCGGGTTTTGAATGTCTCCAGAGAAGGAGACTCCACAACCTCCCTGGGCAGCCTGTTCCAGTGTTCTGTCACCCTCACTGAGAAGAAGTTTCTTCTCAAGTTTAAGTGGAACCTCTTGTGTTCCAGTTTGTACCCATTGCCCCTTGTCCTATCGTTGTTTGCCACTGAGAAGAGCCTGGCTCCATCCTCGTGACACTCCCCCTTTATATATTTATATACACTAATAAGGTCACCCCTCAGTCTCCTCCAAACTATAGAGACCCAGCTCCCTCAGTCTTTCCTCATAAGGGAGATGCTCCACTCCCTTAATCATCTTAGTTGCCCTGCGCTGGACTCTCTCCAGCAGGTCCCTGTCCTTCTTAAACTGAGGGGCCCAGAACTGGACACAATATTCCAGATGAGGTCTCACCAGGGCCGAATAGAGGGGAAGGAGGACCTCTCTCGACCTACTAACCACCCCCCTTCTAATACACCCCAGGATGCCATTGGCTGCCTTGGCCACAAGGGCACAGTGTCGGCTCATGGTCATCCTGTCGTCCACCAGGACCCCCAGGTCCCTCTCCCCTACACTGCTCTCTAACAGGTCGTTACCCAACCTGTACTGGAACCTGGGGTTGTTCCTGCCCAGATGCAGGACCCTACACTTTCCCTTGTTACATTTCATCAAGTTATTCCCTGCCCAACCCTCCAGCCTGTCCAGGTCTCTCTGGATGGCAGCACAGCCTTCTGGTGTGTCAGCCACTCCTCCCAGCTTAGTGTCATCAGCAAACTTGCTGACAGTACACTCAATTCCCTCATCTAAATCATTACCATGTTTTAACAGTTGTTTTCTACAGAGGAGTGTTAGCTGTATTTACTTCCACACTTCCAAATGCAGATTGTATTATTTGCTTAGAAGATTGAATTCTTCATTGCTGAAGGTAAAGTGGTAGGTAGATTTAGGTTTAGGATCCTAATTGGATCCCAGTTGGGCTCAAGAAGGTTGGTCTTGGAAAATTAATCTCCCTTGAAAGCTGTTAATGGAGAGAACTCAGGCAGGACATGAATTTTTCTGTACTCATATTCATCGTTTACCACTTCATTCTCACTCAGGCTCCCCTGAAATGAAAGCAGAGAGTTGCCAGTTCGCGTGAATTGGTGATTTCAAATTTAATGTTCTACAGAGACAAAATGAGCTCATCCAGGACACAATCAATGAAGAGCTTAAATAGCATCTGAAAGCAAATGGCAGTGCATCACTGCAGTGAGAGAAGTGCAGGCGTGGCAGGAGTGCAGCTGCCCTCCAGTTTTCAGAATGGGCTGTAGCACTTGCATGAGAAGAAATACTGTTCTCATTTTCCCTGTCAGAGTTTGCTCCTCTAGGAACTCTCAGCACTGAAAAGTTCTTGCTCCTTACCAGAATATGTTGATGTCAGTCGAAATGTGGGAAACGCTGATATAAATGAGTCATCCTTGCCTATATGAGGCATAGCAGGAAGATTTTTGGATATTAAAAAGCACAGTCACCTTACTGGGAAGTATCAAATGCAATCTTACTTGTTTTGTTCACCTTTTTGTGCTTTGCATTAAGTTCCTAAAGCAAAGGAAATTCATTCTGCCAGTGAAGACTCTATGCTTGTCACCCTCATTTCTTGGTCTCACCTCCGGTTGCTTCCTGGAAGGGCCCAGCATTATTTCATACTGGGAGGGGAAAGACAGTTCAGGACCACCTCTGACGAGAGGCAGGCTGCGTTTGAAGTGAGGACTGGTAGGATGCAGCAGCTCATGGGCACTGTCTCCCCATGAGCAGCTCCTGATCCTCTCCCAGGCAACACCCTCAGCCTGGTCTGCCTACTCCACCACAGGCACTGGCGCAACTTCCTCAAGGGTGCTCGGGAGAAGTTCACAGCTGTCCTTCCTAGCAACATGGGCTAATCCTGGATGATTATGTGGAGAGTTATTTCCAAAGACTTTTGCCCTGTTTTGCTTTGGGATTTTTCTCTGTTTTGGGTTTGCGTTTGTTTTGGCTTTTGCTGGTTGGTTGGTTTTGTTTATTTTTTTTTCCCCAATTTAAAAGTGAAGTAAAGCCAGAGCTGACAGAACAGGGCAAACCCATGGAAGAATTGCTTTGGAAAGCTGTAGCTGACTGTGACTTGTGAATACTTTTTTTCCAGACTAAAGTCTGGAATAAGCATTCTTCAGTTCTGCTGCAGCTATTCTGAAGTTTCATGTGGGGTACAAGATATTTGACCCCAATCCCATAACTCCGTTCCAGAAAACACTCTGCATAGATGAAACTCTATCAATTTTAGTGCAGTTTCCCCAAAAGTGCAGCACAGCACATGTAAACAAGGGCAGTGAGACTAGCCATAAGAACAGCCTCAACTGGGACTGGGACCCGTGTAGCACAGCACTGCCACGCCAATATTTTGTGAAAATTTGTGAAACTTTTTTGACCTACAAGCATCTTGGAAGGATTTTGCTTCATGTCTGTTAGATTTTCAACCAGGATTTGAGACTTCATGTTCACTATTTTACTCATTTACATTTGAAAATTATGTATGTAAAACCTGTATTTTCCTACATTTGTTTAACTTCTAGGAAAAAACTAACTGGAAAAAAAATAACAGTTTCAGTTAGCCAGGAGTATAATATACAGCCAATGCGGTAACATGACAGTGATGAAATACAGATAGTGCCAAAATGTTACAATGGCAAGAGAGAAGGTTGTCTTCACTTTCAGTTTTCTTCCTTTACCTTAAGGACTCTTAATGTTTCTTGAAAAAGTGAGAATAAAACAAAGATATATTGGCTTGCTATTTTCTTTTTCCTTTTTATGTGCTGAGCAACTATGTCTGTTCCAGGATCCCCATCTTTAAATGAGTCTTTTGTCTCAGTACAAGTAATTTCTATTAGGTCACAATTGCCCCAAAAGTAATTGAAATCAAATGCTGGCTTATGAGCTCTGCCTGTCATCTCTTGAGAGTTCCTTCTTTTGGTAATCATAGAATAGCTAGGGTTGGACAGGACCCTAAGATCATCTAGTTCCAACCCCCCTGCCATGGGAAGGGACACATCACACTAAATCATGCCACCCAAGGCTCTGTCCAATCTGGCTTTGAACACTGCCAGGGATGGAGCATTCACAACTTCCCTCGGCAACCCATTCCAGTGCCTCACCACCCTTACAGTAAAGAACTTCTTCCTTATATCCAATCTAAACTTCCCCTGTTTAAGTTTTAACCTGTTACTTCTTGTCCTATCACTACAGTCCCTAATGAAGAATCCCTCTCCAGCATCCTTGTAGGCCCCCTTCAGATACCGGAAGGCTGCTATGAGGTCTCCACGCAGCCTTCTCTTCTCCAGGCTGAACAGCACCAATTTTCTCAGCCTATCTCCATATGGGAGGTGCTCCAGTCCCCTGATCATCCTCATGGCCCTCCTCTGGACTTGTTCCAACAGTTCCATGTCCTTTTTATGTTGAGGACACCAGAACTGCACACAATTTCAAGTCCTTTCTGTGAACCCAAGAGCAGTTTATTGATAAGCAATGTGCTTATAAAGAGCTGAAAGACTGTCTTTCCAAAACATACATACATTCACCTACAAGTCTTACGCTTGTCTATAATTTCAGTTTGCCCTCTAGTGACCATTCTGGGTATTTTCCTGCACTGAAAAGTACCCTTCTTGACTGAAATGTCAAAATATTTTTATTTGGCAATGAGATTTTTAAGGATAGTTATGAACTAAAAGAAAGCTACGAACAATTAGTGGGCCACGAATTAATATATTCCCACTGCATGCAAGTGAGACAATAAAAACTGGGATTCTTCATGAGAGAGCAGCTGAAAATATTTTATGTTATTTCCATAATAATAAAAATGAGGCCATTTCAGTAACAGTTTACTGCACTGAAACTAGGATAGCAGAGTGTGAAAGATGAGTAGGTTGAATGTGCTTTTACAGGCTTGAAGTGGTGTAAAAAGTACCAAACAAGCAGCAGAAATAATACTGAAAAACTCTTGCAGTGGGGCCATTTCAAGTGCTGCTCATTACAAAGCCCAAGAAATATACATTTTGTTTTAACATTTGTGGCAGGGTGTCACCAGGTGGAAAAACAGCTCTTACTCTTTGCTCTGCTTCTTTGGTCTTTTCTGTTGTTCTGGACCACAGTGAAGTTCTTAGATGGCTTTATTTCTGCTATTTCAGCTTCAGGCTCGATACCTGTGTCTCTTGTCACTTCTTCAGCTTGCATCCATGAATGATAGTGGGTAGAGTATGTACACCTGCAAAAGAGACTCATGTCATAGGTATGGTACCTGAGATCTGGCATGCCATTGCTACTCTTCCTACCAGTCAATTTTTTGTTTAGATGTACCTTTTTATTATCACCACTTTGAATGATACTCTTCTTAATGGCTGGAGATCAGGAAAAGTTTTAAAGTGGTTCCTCATCTGGTGCTTAAACCAATGTGGCTGTAGGATACTTTAGAGAAGTTATTTCAAAGAAGCTTATGAAATAAAGTGAATTGGAAGCACAGCATTTACTTAAATGCATTACATTAGTGAAATTATACTTCAGCAACATTATTATTTACATACAATCAAAACTAACAAGAAGCACTGCCACAAGACAGATCTTAGAACAAATAATAAATACAAATATTTTTAAAGTTAAGTTATGCGAGGTCAGAATCTTTGTACCTTAGTTGTTGAGCTTCCTTACGACATTATCAATCAACTGAAGGCATCTTCTCATTTCTGCACGGCTGATTTCCCAGGAGCACAGGCTGTACTGTTTGTCTTTCAGAAAACTGTCTATTTCTTTGAAGTATTTCTTCAGTTTCAGCCTGTTGACTTCTTTACTCCAAAAATGCCGGGTCTGCTTCTTGATTACACATGCCTCCAATTGCTCAATTTGCTGATAAAGTCCGTTTTGGAACTGTCCTAAAGCTGTCTTATCCCAAGCAGCTAAAGTCAGATTCTTGCTAAAGATGTAGAAGATATGTTGGAAGATCTCTTCAATGGCCACTCTGAGAGTCTCTTTCTGTCTGGGCTTTAGAACCTGCTTAGGAAATCTGAAGAACATTTTCTCTCTTAGACATTGTTGAGGAAACTTTTCACCCATTTTGTCCAAAAGTTGCATGCTGTTCTTGACCACTTTTCTTCGCTGTAAAGGAAGGTGATTACACTGAGGATAGGAGGTAGTGCTGGTGCACAACAGTATGATGCCAATTTGTATTAAGCCAAAAGCATTCATGATAAAAGCTCTTAAGTTCCTCCTTTCCTGTGTATAAATTCTGCGAGACAGGATGGGATGCTATAAAGGTCATTCTTAGGCATCAGTTTCTCCAAAATCTTGAAATTTAATTGTTCTGTAGGAGAAGTTTTCTTTCATCATCACTTGGTTTTTAAGGTTTTCCCCCTTGTGTATGCTTTTGACACCACTTTCATTTTCTGCCTTATGACTTCATTGTCTTTACCCCCCCACACTTTCTTTTTATTTCAAATGAATATTAAAATATTATATAGCCCTCTTCCTCAGAAATTCTACAGGAAGTATAATGAGTATTTAGGAGGAAAAGTTGTGGGTTTTTGGGGTTTTTTTTTGGTATTTTTAGCAGTGGACGAACATGTTCCATATAACATGTTCCAAATAACACTCTCAGTGACATGTCAGGGACCTGCTGAATAATATTGCCATCCTGTCTCCTCATCATGATTTACACTTCCAAAAGTCAGTTTTCTCCACCTATTTTGACTCAGGAAAAATATTTTCTTTCTCCTTACCTTTCTCTTGACCATTCAGACATAAGGAGAGATGTCATATCATTAAAATATGTGTGTGTGTATACATATTTAAAAACACATATATGCATCAATATACAATACCTATGTGTATTTTAATGCATATACACTGCTAATTTAACAAGCCCTCAATCTCAATTAGGGATCGCAAGTGCCAAGTAAATACAAATACCCACATGGGAACAGGTTAAATAGAATCATAGAATAGTGAGGGTTGGAAAGGACCTTAAGATCATCAAGTTCCAACCCCCCTGCCATGGGGAGGGACACCTCGCTCTAAACCATATCACCCAAGGCCTCGTCCAACCTGGCCTTGAACACTGCCAGGGATGGAGCATTCACAACCTCCCTGGGCAACCTATTCCAGTGCCTCACCACCCTCACAGGAAAGAATTTCCTCCTTATATCCAATCTGAACTTCCCCTGTTAAAGTTTTAACCCATTACCCCTTGTCCTATCACTACAGTCCCCAATGAAGAGTCCCTGTCGAGCGCCCCTACAGGCCCCCTTCAGATGCTGGAAGGCTGATATGAGGTCTCCATGCAGCCTTCTCTTCTCCAGGCTGAACAGTCCCAACTTTTTCAGCCTATCTTCATGCGGGAGGTGCTCCAGTCCCCTGATCATCCTCGTGGCCCTCCTCTGGACTTGTTCCAACAGTTCCATGTCCTTTTTATGTTGAGGACACCAGAACTGCACACAGTACTCCAAGTGAGGTCTCACAATAGCAGAGTAAAGGGGCAGGATCACCTCCTTCGACCTGCTGGTCACACTCCTTTTGATGCAGCCCAGGATACGGTCGGTTTTCTGGGCTGCAAGCGCACACTGAAGCCGGCTCATGTTCATTTTCTCGTTGACCAGCACCCCCAGGTCCTTCTCTGCAGGGCTGCTCTGAATCTCTTCTCTGCCCAACCTGTAGCTGTGTCTGGGATTGCTCCGACCCAGGTGTAGGACCTTGCACTTGGCATGGTTAAACTTCATGAGGTTGGCATCAGCCCACCTCACAAGCGTGTCAAGGTCCCTCTGGATGGCATTCCTTCCCTCCAGCCTATCAACCGAACCACACAGCTTGGCGTCATCGGCAATCTTGCTGAAGGCGCACTCGATCCCACTGTCCATGTCAGCGACGAAGATGTTAAACAAGACCGGTCCCAACACCAATCCCTGAGGGACACCACTCATTACTGGTCTCCAGCCGGACATTGAGCCATTGGCAAAATAATCTCCTTTCCCTATATAACAGAGGAGGCTAGCACTGGGACTGTGTCTGGCTCCTGTCTTTGATTTTATTTGGTGAAAGCCAGTGTTAAGCTATCATTTTGTTGCCTCACCAGCCTCGTGTGCAAACATCTGTCATTGCAAAGGCAATTCTTTGTAGGTGCTTATGTCTTGATGAAGAGGTCAAATAAACTACTTTTTAGTCTGAGATCTGGCTCTACTTTTGTTTTGCTGTTGCAGCCACTGCTATGTGGTTGGCTTCATTCCCAGTCTGTGAATCTGATGAACAGGCAGGTATATGACACTATTCTAGGGCTTTGCTTTTGTTCAACATACAGGTATTTTGGGAGGCTTAAAAAAGTCATAAATTAAGCGGAGCTCTGTTATTCACATGAGCAAACTCTTTGGATGCCTTGATGCTGCTTAAGCAACTTTGGACTGGAGGTACTGCTAGTTGGAGGAAAAAAAGAAACCCTATCACCTATGACAGTATTAAATAAAGAAAGTGAGAATAATCATATAAAATGCATAACATAGGATGAAATCTTTTCACTTAGTGACAATGTTTATTACTTTGGAAAAACTGGCCTGAAGTGCCATTGAGATGTATCACTTTTGCAAAAATACACATAATATATTACAATCATCATTAAATCGACAACAATGGTTACAGTTCAAGTAAAACAATACTGCTACACCTATTTCCATAAATCATACTCAAGTATTTTTTTCCAAACTGTAATCATTATATGACCTTAATCCTTCTACTGACTTGAACAGGTAAGCTTCTTCATAGTCATTTTATCTCCCAGCCATCCAAGTTCTTTCTTTCCTCTTGCCATTAAAGAAAAAATAGTATTTTACATGTTCCACCTTGATGAAGAGCTGCAGATGCTATCCTGGGTGTCACAGACAGAAGAGAGGGGGAAAACCAGAAGATTGTCTCTTTCAGATTTATTACAATGGTAGAGCTGGTACAGGTATTTTACCCTCTTCACTGTGTTAATAGATTGACATTCAGCTTAGGTTTTCAGGTTTTTGTTTTATTTTGTTTTTAATAACAACAAATCTTTCTTCTCCACTCAGCCAATTTCTTAATTATTGCACTGAGTAAAGCATCACTTACCTGCATGATTCAAGACGCAGTCTCCTCTAACCATTTATCTTTATTGCTTAATTCAGAAACAAGCTGTTCACTAAAAATAATGAGTGGAAGAGCTATCTGAGTGATAAGAAGCTGCAGCACAGATTGCTGTTTATTTCTCTGCCTGCAGTTGAAGCACAGACCACTCTAACCTAGAATGAAGAGGAAACAGGTCTACAAAGCTCAGCTGTATTTCCAGGTAGACCTAAAATCATTATTCTAGAAAGATTATTTGATCTTCAATCCTTTCATATGAAGAGAGGCTGAGAGAGTTGGGGTAGTGACAGGACAAAAGGCAATGGTTTTAAACTGACATAGAGGAGATTTAGGTAGATATTAGGGAAAAATTCTTTACTATGAGGGTGCTGAGGCACTGGAACAGGTTGCCCAGAGAACTTGTGGCTGCCCCATCCCTCAAAGCGTTCAAATCAAGGTTGGTTTGTCATGTGAATAACCTGGTTTAGTGGAAGAAGTCCCTCCCCATGGCAGGGGAGTTGGAACTAGATGAGCTTTAAGGACCCTTACAGCCCACACCAGTCCATGACTATGGCTCAATTCCATGCAAGAAAGACCTGCCCTTAAAAAGTCATCTACCTATATGTATTCATTCCAGGGGCATTAAGACTAAAGCTTATATTACAGCATAAAGTTATATGCATAATTTTAATGTATTTCTAAAAACTGCAAATACCACATGTTGCTTCCCTAATGGCAGTTTTTCACTTTTATTTTCTAATGCAATAGAGGAGTTAAATAAATATTTGCTATCCCTTATGACATGGGTTCTCTCATCTCGGGCACCAAGGCAAGCGTTGAGTTTAAGTTCAGCCTACATGTATGCTGGCAAATGGTGCAGTGTGAGGGAATTCTGCAAAATAGTGTGGTTTTGGCCTCTGGTAACTACCCCATATCAAATCACTTCATATTACCTTACATGAGCTTTCTGAAATCAAAATAACCAGTTCTTCTCAACGTTTTGTCTACTCTAGCTATCAGTTTCTTTTCTCCTTTAATTTATCCAAAACACACTATGCCACAAAGAAGTTCAAATATGTTCAGCTTTTCACTGCACAAGGTAGTTTCCTTCCCAGCGAGTCACTGCCTTTGTTAAGAGAAAACAAGTTTTCTCCATTATGTTTTCCATCACAGCTATAACTTGCTAGTCAGTAACCCTTACACACCTAGATTCTTTGTCTTTTGGGTTTTTTTGGGTTCCTTTTAAGCAAAATCTTCAAATACAGGCAAGACTGCATTCTTTCCTTTTATCTTAGGATCATGTGGCTGGCCAGGTGCAAGCTTGTGCTGTGATGGACAAAGGCAGGGGCAGCCAAAAGGGATCATTATGCTGATCAAAAATAGGATAGTAAAAGTTTAATACTATTGCTGGAACCACTCCACATGAATGGATAAAGCAAGAAATATATATACACACAAAATCTGCCATGAAGACGAATACCTTATTCAGTTTTAAATTATTAAAGCACAGTTAATTTAGCTCATATGCTACAATTCCATTCACAATCACAGTCTGCATTGAGAAGTTAGGATCTAATTTAGCCATGTAACCTTCCCATCTCAACAGACAATTTCTTGGTGACCTGTTGACCTGTCTCAACCCAAGTAACTGTCTTATGCTGAATAATTCACTAAAACTGTTTGTGCAGTACATGCTTGTTCTTGCAAAGTTTTGTTTCGAGAAGTACAATTTTACAAATAAGTGTATAAACTAATAACTATAAAAACCCCAAAGTGCTACAAATTCAGTTTACCAGAAAAGAAATTTAACAGAACACTCCTCAATCAGGCAGCAGCAAAGGGGTATTACCTACAAAAGCAGTAGAAGCACAGAAGTAAAGAAACGTTATTATTTCCATTTATGTCACTAAAGGCTTGTCATCTTAATTATAAAAACATAAAAACATAGTGAAAAGCTTTTCTTCTGCTTAATAAAAGAAGCAGGACCTGCTGTCCTTTTGGTAGGAAATGAGATTATCTGAGAGTGTATTTACTTCTTTGCACTGACAGCTTGGAAATAGTGGGGCTGCCTTCCAAGCTGACAGTTTGGAGTAGTGGGGCTGCCTTCCAAGCTGACAGCTTGGAATAGTGGGGCTGCCTTTTTGCGCTCACCAAGGCTTTTGCATCTGGTAATGTGAACTATAAAAAAACCCGGGCACAGACAGCTTCTTTGGATGCGTTGCTGGAAATATGACATGATTTATCATACTGAACAGACATTTAATATGAGAAAGTGCTCAGACTTCATACACTTGAATACACATGGCATTCATTTTTTAAATACGTGAAAACC